GTTGCAGGAAAGCCTGGACTGTCCCAGCCTCTGGGGAGAGTCATTCTTTGATTCTGTGCTGTAATTTAATCTCCACTGTTCTGCCTATGGCTTCTGACAGTGCAGTTGCTGCCATCTCAGTCAAGCCTCCTCGCACCTTGCTCCAGGGACAGGCAACAGGCGGCCCTTCTCACCCTACAGGCGGGGCCTTTGTGCTGTGCCATTACCCAGCACTGACTGGAGGCAAAACCCAAGCTGGTATTGCTCATGTTTAATCAATGGTGTCACTGCTAATGGTGCTGGTAATTCCTGAGCCACGTCTGCTAGGTAGTCTGGGAAAGTAGTGAGGGTTGGCCAGGTAGAGAGAGGGCTTGTGAGCCCCAAGGGGATGGATACATGGCACCTCCTCCATGGCCTGAGACCAGATGGCACCATGCTGTGTGAGGTAGGCTTCTCTTTTCTCTCCTGTGCTACTTTGCTCTGTCTTCAAATGTTGCTTCTGTGCCGTGGTTTGATTGTTGTCTGAACTCTTTTTCTCTGTGGGCAGTATTTCTGTGTTTTGTGTGGTAGAGCTATTGCTTCTCAGAACAGTGCTTCTATTCCTGCAGGTTTTTATTACTGCTCACTGAGAGCAGTATATATGGAGCTGGAGGTCCATAGCACTGAAGTTATTGTTACAGTGCTTAGATGATGTCCACGCGTACTTACTGATCCTACAGATTTCACTTGTGTGGTTTGTGCTGCTGAAGACAATGTAGGGAAGAGTTCTAATAGGCAGCAAAAGAGAGAAACCTTAAGTAACAGATGGGTGGACAGAATTTTCACACTCACTGTTCATATGTATGGGCACGGAAAGCCCACGTTTGAGGCAGTAGGTTTTTGATGGGGCTGAGCACATCTTGCGTGTCTCTTGCTTGCTTCTGCGCATGCTTCTCTATGCTGTGCACCTGCCAGGACAGCCCTACACAGCAGGGTGGGCACGAGGAGGTGCCAGGCAAGTGCTGCTGGCAAACCAGTTGTTCCACGGCACTGGTTAGGGTGAGCTTGGCCAGGCCAGGAGTGAAGGGGGACAACCAGGACCAGGTGGGCTGAGCTGCTCCTCTGTGCAGAGCTTGCCTCCTGGCAGGCAGGCACTGCTGTGGTAATGGCTGGCCTCACATCGTGCTCCTTAGAGTCAAAGGGCACTGCTGAACAATGTGGTAGGGGCTGCCTCTACAATTCCAGGTAGAAGTGTTGCAGTTTGCATGGCAGAGAGTGGCTTGTAAACTTCTCTCCACCTCTCTGTAGTCCACCTTACAGTTGCCAACAAGCTGTGGTTAGCTTACAGAATGCTGCAGTATCAGAGCTAATGGGGCTTTGCCCATGGAGCAGAAGCCCCAAGTGAGGTCAAACTGTGGGGCTGGATCTCCAGCCCTGCCTGCTGGTTCTTGCAGGTGGTCGTTCCTGACTTCTTCCAGCCGAGAAGAGGCCTGCTCTGGTGGTGCTGCTGTTCAGAGCTAGGGAGGATGGAGAAAAGGTTATCTTTCTTGTTTTTAATCTCACAGGAAGTCACAAGGCAATGTAGGTCAGTGACAGGGCAAGCTGGGGACGCGTTAGGCTGACTGTGTCTCAGCGCATAACGCAGCATGCTGCACAGCTTTTATTTTTTTGGAAGAGTGACATAAGGAGAAAGGTGTACCCTCCAAATTTAATTCCTGGTCTTTGTGTGTCAGATTGGGTGTATGCTCTTTTGGTGGGATGAAATTTTTCTTCTTTCTGGTCTCCATCCTGTACGATGAATTCATGGTGCCATCTACTGATTAGAGACAGAATTAGCGCTGAGATCAAGTCGGGAAGAGAATTCACTGCGGGCTTTGCTTTAAGAGAAAATTTATCTCTGTGATTAAACAACAGCTGTAAAATGTGGAAAGCACGAAATACCTGGGGTTTATTATTTTATTTATTCCCTGGAAGATTTCAGCACCTCTGAATCATACTGAGCACTTTGGGGCTGTGTGACTCTGAAGAAGATTGAACAGGAATGGTGCTTTTGAAATCTCATCCCATGTGTAAAGAGGAGCCCCACGGATTCTTCTTTCTCCTCATGCTTAAAGGTCTTTTTACTCCTCTGCCTCTCAAAATCAGAAGTAGTTTTCAGAAGTCTTTGGAGCTTTTAGGAAAAATGGAAAATTGCATTTTTTTGTTCCTTCTTAAAAAGTAGGAGTAACAACAACAGAAAGATCAAAATTTCGTATTTTGAATTTGTTTCTGAAACAAAAATAATTTCTCCTTTCATCTGAAATCAGCACTGTTACCCATTGTGATCACGTGGCCAATTCTGCAATTAAAACAGCCAAACAAATGACTGGAGAGGGAGAAAGACTGATCTCAACTGTCTTCTCAGATGCTATTTCTGAATTTCAGTTTTCAGAAGACACCAAAAATTTTTGTCTAGAAAGTAAGTAAATAATTCACTGGTTCTGCAAGTGGAGATGATCTCTGTTCCTGCACATCTCTCCTCCAGCTTTAACTGTTGTCTCATGCTATTAGTGTCTCATGCTATTCTGTTCTGACTGCTCCTTCAATCTCAAACTGTCTATTTCTTGCAAAGCATTCTGCTCCTCTGCTTCCCATCCCCAAGCAGATGCATAGCATCACCACCTGAGAAACCTGACAGTCAACCTGGGTGGAAGGCTATGGGGCTTCAGTTAGAGCACATCTTTATCCCCAGGTGGCACTTGCCTTCTGAAGAGCTCTCCATGAGGAGTGAGCAGCAGAAAGCATGTGGAAAAAAATGCAAGCAAGTCGAAACATCTTTTAAAAAAATATGAGTACTTCATTTGAATGCAAAACAGCTGAAAGGCTTAACTGCAATACATTGGCTCTGCTTCTGAAATATCTAGTTCATTTTCCTTCAGAAGAAATTCAAAATGTAGCCTAAATGCAAACTATTTTCACATACAGCTTTAAAGCACAGCCCCTTTTCTGTTCTTTTTCTCTAAGCACAGTGATTGCCTGTAATAGCTTGCCGGTGTTCCTAAGGTTAATAGATAAAATAGATAAGAGATAATAGTGTTTCGTGTAGTAGCGCTTTAGGGAATACTGTGAATATTGAGGTAATTGGGAAGTCTGTAAGAAGGGGGGTCACTGAAGAGGAGTCAAGCTAAGATTAGAAAAGCTGAGCTGCAGAACTCGGGAATACTTGATAAAGGTCAGAACTGGAGGCCATTGGATCACTCTCTCTTGAAATACTGAGTCAAATAAAAAAAGACAAGGGCAGAATTAGAACAGTACCCTTATTTCCGACATCTAATTATTTATAGACATCGTTATTTTATTAAGATTAGACAGCAGTAGTCGAAAAGCAGTAGATTTTGCCTTCTTCATATTTATGGTAGATTAGTCTGTCCACCAACAGTACAATGGTATGCTTAGAGATGAACATGTTGTAATTAAACACAATACATTATAGGTTTGTTGAGAACTTTGATAATTTCCACCTCTGATTGAGCAATTAGACTCAGCTTTGTACAGCCTGTTAGAGTCAGGTGGTAGAGAGCAATCTACAAGTTCAGAACTGGCTCAGATTGTGCTGTAGATGGGCAGCCAGTGTTTATGTGAAGACAGCTTGGAAGTAGGAGGCTCAGAATTCGTAGTCCGGGTCAGACTTGTTAAATTGAAGCCTTTAATTAAAAAACAATGCCAGATCAGTTTGGTGTTAGTGTATGTTTCTAGTCCTTCAGAATGAATTAAAATAGAATGATATGGTTTTAAGTGTGTTGGTGATAGTGCTCTGACATCTTTGGTGCAGTAGATATGTGTATTTTCAGGAATGACCCTGTGAAAGGGAGATGAATTCAGTATCGTGGGTTACAGAGGGATGATTTCAAGTCTGTTTGTTATGGCAGCACCTCTGTGTGATTTTTGGAAAACAGACCTTCTCTGCCTCATGAATGTATTCGAAAAAAAACACAGAGTACTGCTGTGGTCGGCAAAAGCTACTGCAGTGCAGAGGCGCCTCTAACAATTTATTTAGGGCATTAGCCGGAGGTTTTAAGTCAAGAGCTGGACCTCCTTGCCAACCCATGTCATTGCAGTGCACTTCCTTTAGTTGATAAGTCTGTTAAGACTGCTCTTTCAATTCCCAATTCTTTCACAGAGACACTGAATTCTGAACTCCAGCAGTAGCCTATAAGGTCAGCAAACGCTTGTGCATGTACTACTAATGTTTTGGCTGTGCAGACATTTGTAACTGTATCAGTGCCAATTTATTGGATGACTTCTGAACTTTGTTGCTGTTAGTACTCTGCAAGACTCCAGGCTCACAGGAGCAGCAAAGCGGAAGCGAGGCAGTGTAACATAAACTCAGACATGCTCGTTATGTTATGCACCTTCAGGCTGGTCCTCACCTCTCATGGACCTGAGGTTTACAAGGCAAAGGAATAGTTAAGAGTTGGAACAAGTCGCAAGGGGGTGAGAAAACAAAGAGGCTCATTAAACTTTATGCCTGCATCTCACCTATAAACAGCAAAGTACAGTTTTTGTTAGTGCTTTGAATTTTAATTACACACTGCCTTGGCTAGCGCACATCTAATTTCATCTTTTTCCAGCTGATATTAGAGAATGAATCTCAAGTTTAATTGAAAAGCTGCCGAAGATTTTGGGAAAAACTGGAATGTTTGTGTGTAGGATACGTGTTTGCAAACCATTGCAGGGAAAGATACTTTCACTCTGAAGCCGGTCAGGGATGCAACTTTACTATCCACAAAATAATTAATAGCACATTAGTAAATATGACTGCATTCCATGTTTGCTGACAAGTCCACATGGTTCTGCGTGGAACATATTTTCTCTAGAATATGACATCTTTCTTAACCACCAAAGAATATAAATATTGGTCTTAGTGCTCGAGCAAATCATCTCAACCAAGTGAATCACAATTTTAAAGCACCATGTTGTACTGTGGCATTATTGAATTTCTGTATAGATCAAAGCTGTGACAAATGTTCATGTTACATTGACCGTGGTCATCTCATTTTTTTTCAGTTGAAACAATCAGTATCCTGAGGAGCACTGCATTGAGTTCTGCGGTAAGTTCTGCTTCTTAGTTATTCTCATTGGAAAATAATACAACACCATAGTTTAAAACTTGATCTGACTGGAAAAAAAAATCATTAAGGTTTTCTCAGAAAATGTTAGTTTTATTGAGACTTGAAATTTGCTTTAGTTCTGTGTTGTATTCTGTAGCCAGTTTCATTGACAGCATGCTCTGCTGTTTTGGGAGTCGAAACGGCTGCATATATTAGTCCAGCAAAAGTAGTGACTGTGGACATGGTTGCTTTTCTTGGGCTTTGTTAGTCTAGCAACCCCCTCCAGAATAAAGTGTTTCTCTTACTGATTCCAGTGTGAGAAACACTACTGAGGAGCAGCAGAACTCTCTGGGCATTCTGGAGCAGCAATGCCTGTTAAGTGCCTGAGCTATATGCAGATGCAGAGCTCAGAAAAAATACTCCAAAAATGCTTCACTGGTATTACCCCACTTGTGCTGATTCCCAGCAGTTGACAACTGAGTCTAAGATGATTTTCTTACAATGGTTCTACATAGCCTGTCGTGGTATTTAACTTCATCCAAACTAGCTTTCTTTAGAGAAAATTTCACTATTTCTAAAAGCAGTGTGGAAAATTCAGTAAGAAGTTGGGAGTCTGGTATGCTTGTAAATAAATAAAGTGTTTGAGTAAGAGACGACTTTCAGGAATTGCCCTGAGTTAGGTAACTCATTTGTGGCCTGTCTTTCTTAAAAGCAATGAGGAATCTCAGTAAGTTAATAAGCTTGCAAGTAATCAGATTTTCCACATGCAGTCATGTCCTGTAAGTGCAATAGAGTGTATTAATAGTACTCCAATGTAACATTTTCCAAGTGTTTTGTAGTACTGCTGGTTGGGTCATGTACTTCTAACAAGCGTTAACATTCCTCGGGGAAGACTTAGAGTTTGAAGTGCCTTATTCTGCCATAAAATGAGGAATAATCAAATCTGTGAAGAAGAGGCCACTGTGAGCTTGGCAGGAATATATGACACTTGTGTATTGTATAGTAGGCATTTCCTCTTTTCCTTCGATGAGTTGGAGGAAACCACTGTGAAGTATATGTATTGTATACACAAAGAAGAATATAACATAACAAAGCATTTGTGTTTCTTGCTTAATTGCCATTTGCCTGTAGTGTATTCTGGAACAGAATAGAGCTGGAATTGCTGCTCTTACACCAAAATCTTTACCAGGTTTAGACTATAGCTGCCCACTGTCTACACTTTATGATAGCATGCTGTGATGGTGCTCTGCTGGCGGGCAGCTGGTTTCCATGGCAGGAACATGGTTGGAGAGACTGAATTCTTCACAACAGCTCTTCAGGTATTTTCTTAGACCCTGTTTTCAGAGTTATTAATGAAAAAGAAATTACCAAGCAAGAATCTATTTATGACTTTCTGTTGTGCCATTTGTTAACATTGTGCCACTTTATTTGGTAATTGCATTAGTACATGTCAGGTACGAGTTCATCAGGGTGCTGCGAAGGCTGGAAGCTCCTTGAAGCCTGCAGGGCCTCCTGGGGGGGACATCAGGTTATGGATGGTAGCTGGGCCCTGTTTCACCTTCCAGCACAAGTATACAACCCTGTGCATGGGCTGGGGGTGAACTGGGAGCACTAAGCTATGGGAAGGGTCCAGTGCTGAGCAGAATGGAGGTGTTGCAGGCACCACCTAACTGATGTTGCATCAAACCTCAAGTGGTGATCTATACAGTCATTTTTGGTCATCCCTAGTAGGTAACTGATGATACAGAGTACGCAGTTATACTTTATTTATTTGAAATGCATTTAAGAGTATTTTTAAATTAAACCTCGTTTCTTCTATTTTTCTTTGCACTGGAATGACTGTGTGCCATTGTTCTGAAAACTTGAATGTTGCATACAAGATATTTGTGCTCTTGTAAATTCAGCAGACGTTTTCTTGGCTCTTCAATATTCCATCGATGCAACTCTTCATTTAAAAAAGGTTCTTGCCAACTTAAATGAAGTCTACTTTGGCCTTTACCTCTGCACAGCCAAAAGCAGCAACACAACCACACCATCCCCATCCAGAAGTAGGATTGAATGTAGTAACTTAGTCTAAATACACAGAGTGCTTAATGCTCAGATTTCTCTCTCAGTAGCAAGCTGCTAAACATAATGAATTATTTTCATTTTTCATGAGTGGTAGCTCTTCATAGTGGCCACAGTTCAAATATATCACATCCAGGAAGCTTAAGCACTTAAGACCCAATTTCCCTCTCGGGTATGGAGGAAAGAGAGGGTATGGCTAGGTCATTGCTGCATTCACAGTGTAACTGTGTGAGAGCTGGCATTGAACAGACTGGGTAGGCTGGCATGAGCAGCCTCGTTTGGGCTTCAAGTAGTTTAACTGCTTTGTCTGTTCCCTGTATTTCAAATGAGTTTTTAGTGTAGTTGGCCATATTGACATTAATAAAGCATGCAGAGAGTGAGTCTGGAGGAGGTGTGTGCACACAGAGCTGCATCTTTCCCTCCAGACAGCACGTCTCCTACTCCTAGTGGCCTCTGCTGTGCCACTTGTCTTTCTGTCAGAGGGCTGCATTCACAGGAAGATGTCTTTTAGAGAAGATGTGTATGTGGCCATTAGCTCTGGAAGGTGCTGAATAGCCTGAAACAAGGACGAGAGCTTCACAAGAGGAGCAGCTGGTGACAGGGGAGACTTTCACAAGAATGGGAGAAAGGAAGGATGTCTTAAGTAGGTGATCACTGGTGGAAAGCTGCTGAGGTAGTCCAGGAGGGCAAGTGGAGCAGTGCTGATTACATCAACAAGTGCCTGGGGAGATCATGCTGTACAGTGCTACTTGCACTGGCAGTTAAACATTTAGGTGGAGAAGAATACAGCTGAAAAATTTAAGAAATAACTTCTCCTGCCCCCAAAATGTTGGTACAGTTATGTAAGGTAGGAAGAGGGTAAGGAATCAAAGGAAAGTAATTTCTTTGCTATCTAGTCACATCCTCCCACCACAGAATCACTGCAGGATCTTGTGCCTGCTTTCTTGCCACAGGAATAATTTCAGTATTAGATCACCAAACAAAAGCAGAAAGTACTGCCACCTAATTATGTTGAGGCTTCCTACTATCACTTATTCCACACCTCAAAGCCTTAGATTTTCAAATAAATTCTTTGTTCCACCCCCGTCTTTGCTTTGGCTTAGCCAAATTTGGAATCAGTTTGCCAGTCACTATCTTTTTCCATTTTAGAAAAGTCAGGTTATTTGGCAGTAACTGCTAAGGGGTCAAACCGAAGCCAGTCATCTTGACACTGAATGTTCCTTCAGTGTGGAGGATACTTTCTTAGTGTGGAGTTCAGGCTGTGTTTTGGCTTATGCTGTTTCCTTTCAGAATGATCACTTTTCAATATTAATTTAATTTCACAGAAGACATATGCTTCACATCTGAGCAGCGTGCTGGGACTGCAGTGCAGGCTGGAGGTTTGTGCGCCGACGCCATTCTGGCTGCCCATGCCTGTAGAAGGGTGCAGCACTGACTCGGGCTCCTGGGCTGGGACTGGGGCTCCTTCATCCCCTCAGTAAGTCAAACCCGATCGCAGCTTGATTCAAAGCACTCTATGTGAATGAGCTGATGTCAGTAGGATTTCTGGTCTCTTTCCCATTCCCCTTTATCCTTGTGCTGTCTCCAGAGAACATAATCAAGCACGGGAGCTTGTAACAATCAGGGCTGTGAGATTGTGTAGCATCAGGCACAGCCTTGAGGAGTCACATTTGCTGACATTAAGTTGACTACAGCTTTATGGTCATTTTACACATGACAGCGTGTCAGCTCTGTAAACCTCCCTGGAACAAGAGATTGTCTATGACTAGTTGCCATGAAATTGAAATGATTTGTCTGTGTCTGCATGGAGTGAAAATCGTGGCAATTGTTTGCCAGTCTTCTCAATTTCTCAAGCTTATTTTCTAATCCAGTGTAATTTTGTAGTGAAGACAAAGCATTTATAGGTTTCACAATGCAGGTCTGTGCCAACTCCTCCCCGCTCCATCAATACGTTCCCTCAGCCTGCCATCAGATTTAATGGGCTTCAACTTAAAGCAACCAGACGATATATTTTTTTCCTAACTTCAGAAAAATATATATGAAGGGAAACCTGTGCCACTGTGGAGAGAAGTGTTACTCAGGGTCACTTCAGATAACAGTAAGTGAGCCCTGACTGACTGGATCTCCATGAACTTCTTGTGGAATAAGGGACTAGTTAGCATAGCAGAGGTATGGTCTGAGCTGATGGATTTCTGTACTTTTGGTGTAACTGTATAGGTAATGATGGGCATGCTAGAGTGCACCTTGAATATAGGCAAATTTATTAATGATTGCTGCTGTTGTCATTTTTCAGACTTGAAAACCCTATAATAAAGCCCATGATGTATTTAAACAACAGGATGATACTTTGAATATGGCTTTTTGAACATAATTCTGCCCAAGATATCTATATTTTGCTTTAAATTAGGATTAAAAAAATTAGAAGTACACTAAAGATTGAGATAAACAGACATTATGCAACAACCCGTTTAGTACAGAACATTTGATATGAAAAAGACTCCCACTGAAAAGCTGCTGGTGTCAAATAATCATTTCTTCTGCAGTTATTGACTTGCACCCGTCCAAATGACAGGGGCTTGGCTATCAACAGGGAACAACACTATTCCAACAAATGCTTGTGAAACCCTGCATGGTTGTCATCACATCAAAACCTTTGTGGAACTGTATGCTTCTGGCTTTAGTGTTTTCTCTCACACATTCAGAAACAATAGAGGAGGAACTATCTGTGGTTATTAAGAAACAAGGTTACTTTTTACAAACAACCTTCCTCTAGCTATAGTTGATCTTAAGCTGCATATTTGAAGTTTGGGTGGAGTTCGGGCTTGACATCATATGTTATGTTCAGAAGCTTTTTCATCATGCTCTCCTTGTTCTTCTGGTAGCTGCTGGTGAGATTTCGGATGGTTTCTGTTGTTTGCTCTTCTATTTGAGCAGAGAGGTTACCTTGGGAGCCCATTACCTGGAAAAGCAGAAGTCCTCTAAGCAAAGCAGGCATTATGCATGACTATGTTTATTGTACTTCTCTTTATCATCTAGCATAAACATAATGCAAACATGTCACACTGTTTTCTAACAGTAAGGGTATGATCTAGGTTGAACCGTACATATGAAAACAGAATTAAAGGCAACTCTTTCATATGCTCATTAGCAATAGGAATCTCCCATGTAATGCAAATTTCCCAGCTCCCTGTGGGGACAATGCTGTACGTGTTTTGTCTTTTAACCATTCATTTTATTTATTTATTGTTTTAATGACTAGTCAACTAAGTTTCAGCACTCTTGTGCTTCATTTGGCCTCACTCAGAATGAATGCAAGCACAGCTAAGGAGCAAAACATGGGAAAGCCTTCCCGAAAATGCATTGTTGGAGTTTCAGAGTATTTGAAATGTCTTCAGCAGCTACCGATGTATAACCCTCAACAGGCCTCAGACAAGGTCTTTTAATGTTACATTTTCTTATCTGGCAAAGTACCAGACAGCTTCTGGCACAGTTAATATCAGGACATTCGCTTAGAATTTAATTGACTCTCCACTCGCTGAACATTTTAGCAAGGTTATGTTATAAACAGATGCACACGTTCCAAATCTGTGGCTTTGTTCCTCCTCCCCCACTGCCCCAACATCTCTTGCATTCTTCCCTTATGGACAAGTCCTTCAGATACTGAGAGACAATTTTGTTTTCAGCTGGAGAATTCCACGGGGAAGAACGGAAGACATTTCTGCACACAGAGTAAGAAAGTAATAAATAACATATTCTCCTTGTTCCTGCCACAGTTCTCTGGGGTGGACTAGCAGCTGGACTAACCTGTGATGGTAGAAGGGGTACATAGAGGATGACCTCAAACGGGAGGAGTCATTAGTTGTATTTTCCATATGATTTCTGCCCAACTTAGTACTTGAAAGAAGGAGAGGCAGCTGAACTATGATCTCCTTATGCACAAATCATATTTGCAATTATCTGTACCTGGCAACATAGTAAGAAGTTTGCCTGCAATCCAGATGTAAAACATTTTCTGATTTGGAAGAAATACAGGATGTAGACACAATAGTAAACACTGGGAAAAGAGTATCATTTTCTGTAGTAACTATTTTTAGTTGGCATTTTATTTTAGCTTTTAGACAAGTTGTAAGGGTCTCATGTGGGAAAGATTGTACAGCTTAAACCAGATTTATGAAGCTGATTTTTTCCACTGGGGAAAATAACTTTCTAGAGATCCCAGATGGTTGCATGTTATCCAGCTACTAAATATTTTTGCAAAACCTCAAGAAGAGGATTATAATAAGAAGAGTTTCTCTAAATCAGGAACCTGCTCTCCTGCTTTGTGCTAATACTGATCTGAGATGGTTGATTCTTAATCTTATTTTTCATCTTTTATTTCCACTCCATTTCTGAATTCTTATCAGGATCCAGGCAATGTTCTGTTTAGTTTGTGATTTCTTCTGACCTTTATAGTCCGTCCATCATTTTGCCCACACTGGCTTTATGTTAGAGGCATTCCAAAGTTGCCAAAGCATTACTCTGCCTCTGAAAGCACAGGTTTGGAACCAGTGTTCACACTGCCAGAGTTCAGTGACCTCAGACCTGAGTGCAACATCACGAGCACCATCAAAATCAATTTGGGCTCTGAACTTCAATTTTGTATGTCTCTTTTGAAAAGTTATTATTTCTGAAAACAAAATCTTGCTGTTCGTCACAATAACCTCATGTTAATCATTACTTTTTTTGTCACTGTTCATTTTGAACTGATGCAGAACATCTCAAGGGACAAGAAAAATTACCCCAGTAAGGATACAGCAACACACAGTAAGATGAGAAACAGCATTAAATGAGACTGACCGAAAATTATATTAGTGTCTGAATACACAAGCCAGCAAACTGAGCTGGGTGTCAGACCTTCTTAGGTTGCCTGGAACTCCTCACTGCCTTCCAAATGCAGGTTAAAAGTGATGACATTGCTCTGGGGTAGCTAAATGTTCAGAATAATGGGGCCAGGGAACTTGAAGCAGGACTGCAGCGATCTTGTACAGCATGCTCTCATTTGAGGAGAATACATGCTCTGGCCTGCTTGTATAACATGCTCAGTTGTCAAACAATGGCCTCTGCTTGCAGCTTAAGTTTTGTTTATGATGAAAATAGTGACTGCACCAAAACAAAGGTTTTTTTCTCCTCTGCTATGTATGTCAGACTAAACCAAGAAGTTTGGTTTGGTTGAGAAATTTAAGACATTTAGATGCATTTTTACTTTGTTAGGATCAGTAAAAATCTGAAGTTGTTTGTATAAGACAACTCCACCTGGCCTGGCAGACTGGTAGTGTGTCTGGAGGCTGACAGTGTATACAGGAAACTTGCTGTGTATGTTCTAAAAATTATGGTCTCTGCTGGGAAATGTATTATGTGAAATATGTCTGAAATAATATATTTATATGGCAGTTTTTATTTGACCTCCTTGGCTTTTTTGTTGTTGCTGTTTTTGAACAGAGTTTTCTTTCCTTTGAACAAAACAAACAGGGAAGAAACAAGAAGAAAACCATACGAGGGAGGTTGCCAAGCAAAAAGAGAATTTTTTTTGTGAAAATTTATGAAAATGGCAGAGATGACAGCAAGATGCCATAAATATATAATACAAACTGCAATTCAGATATGAAAATATCCAGACAGTTGTTACTAGGAAGATGTGAAAAACCCCAAAGCTTGGGTGATTTCAGTTCGTCAAAGATGCAGTGTTGTATGCAGTTAAAAAGCTCAAGTGGAACAGAAATAGAAAGAGGGATTTTTAACTGAAACATCTACCTTATTTCAACCTCCAGTTTTGGGGCAGAAACGAGGTCTTTCTGAAACACTCCTATAGGAGAACCTGAAAGTATTGTTACTGGAGATAATGCTTTCTAAAGGGCAAATGTGAACCATAATACAGAATCTGGACAGTTTCAGTGGTTAAAATCCACAATATCAGGTAGAAATGCATTACAAGTCAAAATGAAGTACATGCACAACACAGGTGAGGCCCATGTGACAGGTGTTTAATCAGCATAGCCAAGTTAGTTTGTGAGAGTGTCCACATCCTGATCTTTGAAACAGTTTGGTTTACTGCAAAAACCCATACAGGTCTCACTTACACTCGTTTGCTTGTTCCTGAATTCCTTCTCCCTCTGCAACCGGTAATGGTCTATCTCAGCTATGGCTTCTTCTTTGGCCTGCTTCAGTCTCTTTCCCTTTCCTAACAGAGGGAAGAAACACAGATTTATGTCACAGTTGTCACATTATCCCAAAAGGTGCATCTCCCACCATAAGAAGTATTTAATCAGGATAGAAGTTTCCTGGATAAAGTTTTGAGCAAGGTGAGCAGCAGTGGCATTTGCACAGAATTGGTAGAAGAGCCAATGGGATTTAGTAGGGCTCTTTTAGAGTGAAAATACCCATCTTCTGTGATCAGCTCCCTACACGAAAGGACACACCAAAATGAAAATCTTGCTGGTTTGCTAACAACAGAAGTCCTTTTGCAACTACGCATTTTCTCATAACACAAATGATTTTTTTTCATCACAGCTTTGTGTTTAAATAAATATCTATCTTCCCTTCATCAGCAATAGTAGCAGCCAGATAACAGATTTTAGTTGTCAGTGATTGGAAAAGACGTTATTTTGTAAGGTTTTTCTGCATTGATTGGCTGCCAGGATCCCTTCATCCCACACCAACTGGGTTCTGTTTAGAGCTGGCAGATTTCCAAAGTGCTGCAAGATACATCTTAACCATTACCAAACTGAGCTGCAACCTCTTGGCTCTGTCCTCTTTGCCCCCACCCTTTTTCCTGAACATCTGTTAAATGCAGAGGTGGATGATTAAGAGAAAAAGAAGGCTGATGGTATTCTCTACTAATGTACAAAAAACGTGGAAGTTATTGTGAAGTCTTTCATTTTATTTTTAAATAGGATGATGAACATAAAAATGGCATTTTAGGCAGTAGAGAAAACTAGACTTTTCCCCCTGGGAAGGTTTGTGTTTACAAGCTTAATTTGTTCTTAGGTAAATACTAAGGGTATGTAAAATGAAACCCATATAAGTTATTGCAGGAGCAGGTAAAAGGCACAGCTTGGGTGTCGCAGGGATATTAGGTCAAGGATGAAAGTAGAAGGATTGATTGTCATGTGATAAGTTTTTACACAAAGAAAGTATTGAGCATCTCATGACAATGCCATGGTTACACATGTGCATCTTTTGCATGTAGAAACTTGGAAAAGTCAGGTGAATCTCGACAGGACTCTGCTATGCTATGTTCTGCAGGAAGTCACTAACTGATAGGGCAGCAATCCTCTTGCATTGAAAGTTGATGCATTATGTTTAAAGCTGCTGGGACTGATGCTGATTTTTTTTTTTTTTTTAAATTTCTTTGGTCTCTTTCTCCTATGCATCTAGAACGTAAGAGGTGGGAGAGGATGCTCTTGCTCATCTGGATAAAAAATCCCTTGCTTACTTGCATAAATGAGGATAACGCAAAACTGGACAACTGAACACGGTTCCTTAATCTGATGCATGAAATGCCCTTTCATTAATTTACTGTAGCCACCTACTTGATGTCACTGAGAAATATCAATACTTTCAGAAAGCTTTTGGTTTGTTTTTAAATCTTCAAATGCAAGTAAGTTGAAAACAGTATCTTTTTGGAAAGCCTAAAGAACATTCCTGAACTAAGCTGGGGAGCTGTGCATTCCAATTTCAGACCTTTTTTTTCCAGGTGGCTCTGTCAGATTGGTTGCACCTGTGCTGGGCTTCTGAAACCTTATCAGGTGTGACATGTAGCAATCTGTTTCACCTGGGCAGGGACAACAGAGCTGAATGTGAGAGGAAGACCATTGTTTTTGATACGTTTCTGACTGGGCAAAATTCCCAATCCAGTGGTAGAGTATTTGCCCAGCTGGTGGCCCCTTCAGAAGCAGTTATCTGCAGGACAGTGAGCAGGAGCAGAGATTTGCCTGAAACATGGATTTCTTTTTGAAGTTTTGATTCTCAAACCATTGGATTTCATGGATGGGCTTGTTATGGCAGAGAGGTGAGGTTTTCCAGCAAGGAGGAAAATGATGGGGAGCTCCCACAGCTTTACGGCCTTTCAGTTCATCAGTGGAGTACTCACCTGTGCAGGCTATTACTCATCTCAGAGTTCTCCTGCCATGAAAGTAATATAGTTTGTATAGAGGGATAATGATGTATTTTAACTCCCAAAAGTTTGAATTTACTTGGTAGGAGCTGATACCTTCAGCTTCTGTGTCACTCTATGGAGTGTTGGGATCATTAACTGACAGACTCATGTAAAAGCCTGATATCAATCTGGAAACAAAATTTGGGACCAGATGAGAAGTGTTTTCAATTTGCTCTTACTCTTATCTCCAAATTTAGAGCTGTTCAGCTTAATATAGAGGTTTTCCTTTAGAAATGGCGCTGGGAGGAGATTCTCTGGAACTGTGATCAGAGGGAGTGACTAAAATGAAGCTCTGCCAATTTCACCAGCTGAAGAATTGGATCTCTATAGTAAATTAAATTATTTCAAAAATGGTGGGATTTTAATTTCAAATTCCATCTGGGGGGCCATCTGTACTAAATATGTTGCATATTTGGCCACGAGATAGATAAGTGAATCCATTTAAAATGCATACAATAGAAAGAGAGGCTAACTATAGAAGTGCAGTTCATCCACCTCTCACAATGCAGCTGGTGAACCAAAAAGTGAATATATACATACATGCTGGATCCTGACACTGGAATAAACACAATACATAGGGTGTCACTGGGGGGTGGTAGCCATTGTTTTTTTTTGTTTTTTTTTTTTTCCATGTTGCCTTTAGGATTGGCACAGCAGGAACCTGCTGCTTCCTATTTAATTAAGTGGAAAAGCTGTGAGTAAATTACTGCTAGTTCGAGAATGTTGTGGACAGAAGCAGCAACTGCCAACATATGCGATAGTGCATATGCTGCACCTGATTAAGTTAAGCAGAAACTAGAGCTTAACCTGCTGTTTCACTAGAGGCAAACCAAAATTAATTAATCAGTCTGTTATTAACCACTTCTCTGCTACCTTAGATGTACAATAAGGAATTGCCTTTTCCAGGTCTTAGTGAACTTCTGGGGGGGATTTTCTATCATACAGCTGAGCTAATATTAAGCCTTACATCCTCGTGGGTAGCAGAGCACAGTAATTCAGCCAAGATCCTGCAGAAAGTGGGCTAGAAACAGAGGAAGGATGGGCAAGCCAACCTGTCTTTCATAGATTTACCCCAGGATTGAAAAGGTGAGGTGCAGAAAGCTCCAAGTTTGAAGAAACCTTTGCCCCAAGGGGCATACAGTGAGGGCCAGGTCTGCTGCTGCCTGTTTGTCCTTCCTTCTTTCCCATCCTTCAGAACAGGGAGCAGCAATGGAGCAGAGCTGTCCTGGCTCCGTTTCCCACTATGCCGTGGATATGGTACCTGAGGGAGAGGAGGGGGACTCAGCAGGCTTCGTGTTAAATTACACTAACCTTAACCAACTTTCTGTAGCAAGTCAGCCCTGTATTAGATATTCTCTTACATAATCTGTGGGAAGGAAATAGTAGCGTAAAAAAAGGTTATATTCTTCTTCATAGGTATTGCCACAATGTTAATGAAATAACTCTGGTTAAATCCAGAGCAACCAGAGTGATTTATTTATTTATTCAAAGATCTTGCAAGAGAAAGGCAGTAGAAATTAAATCTTTCTGAAAATTTTATGTTCTAATTTGCTTAAACACTGTTATCTTGCTTCCCCAGAACTGACTTGTTCAAATCATCTTTCTGTTTTCAAACAGATCATCTGGGCTTCTAGCTGAATTTCTGCACAGAAATGTCAAATGAATAAGCTGCCAAAAATTAATGACATTTTCTTTATATAAGACTGTTTCTGTTGTTCTCTGCTTTGTTTTTTTGTCTGCTAAATGGAATTTAGGAATGCTCATTTTTAAAGACTATTTTGCAGTTGCAATAAAATGCAGTAAAACCAGCTGATCAGTGTATATATAGCTTTTTGCTAGTTAAAATATGTTGTGGGTATTATCCAAGTGAGCATGATGGATGTAATTGGTATCATTCTTTTTAAATGTTTTGTTAATATTTGTGGGTTTTTTTTTAACATGATTTCTTGAAAACTTTCATATAGGCTTCCATTGTATTGGAAACTAGAAATTCAAGCCAAGATATAAAAATCTGTAGGAATCCAAGTTTTGCTAAATCCAGTGTATGTGACACATTATTTTCCCTTCTTTTAGCCAAAAGGGTTTTCAGTAATTGAAATTTTGATTCTGACGATGATAAGTTATCTCAGGGATATAATTTATGCTTAAGCAAAAAATAATAGATAAGGCAGTGCAGTGTACAAATGGATAGAGAACAGCAAACTCTTTTTTTGTTCACTATTAATGGATTTGATGGTTTCAGCCTTGCATATGTGTATTTACCAATTGACTGTTAATAAATTGTCAGGTATAAATGACATCAGTTGGTATGGCAAAGGATGTGATATGGAAGGCGATATAAAGGATGTTGAGCAAGAAGAGTTGCAATGCTACACTTTTGCTTTGCTTCATGACTGTAATTGTATTTATTTGTGAGTTTCAGTGGTCCAAGTGGATTTTGCATTACAAACAGCTGCACATATTTCAGTAACAGCCAGGCCCATTACCTGCTTATGTATGATCCTATATGTGTCCATGCTGCATTTTGTTCTGATTATGTGAGTTTCAGCAGTAAACACTGACAGTTTTGCATGAGTGTACTTTTGGTAATTGCATTTCCTTGAAAATGACTTTTCCTTGTGACCCTCGAGCAACCGGCCTTTCCTTCTTCTCACATTACAGCATAAATAGGATAATCTGGTTTACTCAACCTGTGGTGTTGTGCAAAGACTGTTTGCAGTGACAAGGAGGTCATATTTAGGGTTCAGCAGGGGCAGGGCTGCTTGGCATGGGCAGGACGGGTTCAGCACTCTCAACCAGAGCTTTGAGATACCCGGCCAAGAGCAGCAGCAGCTGATGCCAGCCGGTCTGAGGTGGGCCAGGGCTGGTGCTTCTGAGGTGAGGAAGAACACCCTCACCTTGCTTCTCCAACCTGTGTGCAGGTTAACTGGTTACACTTCAATATATTAATTCTGTTTGATGTTCCTTGTATTTTAGTCTCACACAGAGGCAAACTTTGCAGTTTGATTCAACTGCTGAATCACTCTGGGAACAAGACTGCTGAAATAATTCTGGTTTAGTGCAACAGGATTTGGCAGTAGGAAAACCCCTTTAGTCCCTGACTCAAGTTATTTAGACCATTGCTGGTTTAGTTAGGCATGTAAAAGTGGCACAGTGACATTGTCATGAAAACCTGAAGTGAAGGACAGCAAGGAGAATTTGTGCCAGCACAGCGAGAGCAGTCTGATGCGTGAGAGTGGAGATGAGTTACAGAGGAGGAAGTCATACTGATGAAATATTTGTATTCTGTTTTTACTGATAAGAAAACTTCTACAGCTTGTTTGCTGTAGCTGCTGAGTAACTCTTCCCTCTGCACTGCAGCACTGGTAGGCGTGGGTAGAACTCAGACTCAGAGGGGTTTGGAAGGAAGCTTATCTGGAAGAAGCCCCATACTTATCGTGAGTGCTGTGCGTGGGGCTGTGTGCTGACAGAAGAGTGTATTTGTAGACAGAGTGGAATAAACCCAGCTCGGCTTATATCTGAACTCAGCAAGATGCTCATTTTGGTCATTACTTGGATATTAGAATGATACTTTTTATTTTGGGGGCTTGTTAACTTACGCAACTTCTTTTAAACTAGATGTTTCAGAAAAAGCCAAATTGCCTTTTTTTGTTGTTTAAAAAAACAAACAAACCCAGAAATACACAAAAATGTGAGTGATGTCAATCTGTAATAGCTAAAGGACTGATTCTGCAGTTGGTGTTCAGACCTTACTCATTCCCTGCATGTGAAGTTGTGCCCTTACAGATCACCCAGTTTCTTGCTCTGGGGAACCATGCATGTCCTCTGCCCTGCATCAGAAGGGGAGCACATCTCATTGAAAGCACTTCAGCTGGCTGTGGAAGGGTTGAATTTTTACCTAATTATTCCTTGACTTCAAGTTTGGAATAGCAACCCCCAAACACCCTTTTGGTGAGCTGTTTTTTTTTGTTGTTTTTTTTTTTTTAATTTTTAAATTTTTGAAGATGGGAGAATGCTGTTGCTTCTGCATGGCTGCAAAGCATGGGCAGCAGCTGGATGCTCAGGGAACAGACATGACTTTTCCACTTCTCTGCATGCTGCTGTACAAATTAGCACATCACACAATTAATGATGCTGATTGGTATGTAGAAGGAATATACAAATTACATAGACTATTTTTCTTTAGCTTCTATTTTTCTTGGAGAACAAAATCCTTTATTACACTATCTTGCTGGACATGGCATCATTCTTGGTTGTCCAGAGGTTGTCCAGAGAGGCTGTGGATGCCCTCTCCCTGCAGGGGTCCAGGGCCAGGCTGCATGGGGCTTTGAGCAACTTGGTCTCGTGGGAGGTATCCTTGTCTAAAGCAGGAGGTTGGAACTAGACGATCTTAAAGGCCCCTTCCAACCCAAACCATTCTATGATCTTCACCCATTTTACCTCAGTGCTGCAGGATGCCATTAAGCTTCCTGTTTCTAAGTCAAGATTGTTCCATGAAAAAGCATTCATCTGTCATGGCTAATGCAAGTTAGCGACTCATGTGGTTGCAACCTAAGTTCAGGAAACTGGCCACAGTATTTTGTGTTAAAATCAGTAGGAAATGTGAATACAGAAAATGATGGATGGAATGGTATTCTTGCTTTCATAATTACTTCTTTTACTGGAATTATGAAAGTTTCAATTTCTTTTTTATAAATTGAGATATTGCTTTCATTTTCTTATTATTTTGTTGCTTGTATTTGATTAGAATATAAAGGTTTGAATTTATTCTTGGATACCTATTATGCATGCTTTATCTATACAAGATATGCTTATTCTAAACTGAACATTTGATCACTTGCTGGTAGCTTGTAATATATTTTATAGAAACAGTCTCAGTTCTTTAGGGGGGTTGGACTTGATGATCTCTGGAGGCCCCTTCCAACCCCTACAATTCTGTGTGATTCTGTGATTCTTGTTATTGTACTAGGACTTTGATTATCATCATCCCATTTTTTTTTTGTCAAATACTTTTTGACACCCTGTTGAGATTAAAAGGCAAGATGCTTGTTTCCATAAGTAAAGATGAACACTAAAAATGTGTATAAAGCGAAATACATGGTCTAGTCTCATCCTCTGGAGCTGGCAGCTAGAGGCATGTAGGCTCCTAGTTTAAATACCTAAAGAAGGCTGTAATGACCTTATTGGCATAGAGAAAAAGCAAGAATAAATTTAGCTGACAGGATGAATATAACAAAGAAAGCCTTGTTAAATGTAAAGAGACACGTGCATGCACACACACACACACACAAGGACACGCGTGCGCAGAATTTAAGCCAAGTATGCATCTGGTTAAATGCCTGCTGCAGTCAAGGCATGGCACTAATGCAAGTGAGAGGGAAGTGGCACATAGGAAAGAATAGGCGCACATCTGCGATGTGTACAGATGAAATAATGTTTTTCCTTGGGCCACTGTATTTCTGAAAAGCTTACAGTAGAAAAAGAGAGTAAAACCAGGCCACATGCTTACTCTTTTTGGCTTCCTCCAGCTTGTCCTTGGCACGTTTTTCTGCCTGCAAAAGCTGCTGGATTCCTTGGGACTGGCTGGTCATGCTGGTGGCCGAGGCTGATGTACTTCTACAGGCTCAGGGCTTGGAGGGAGCTTTATACAGCTGCCAGGCCCTTCCCTGTGCTTTTCTGTCAGTTATTACAGCAGCCTTCCAGATTACACCAAACCAGCCTGCTCTGTCCGGATTACTTCTGCTAAAAAAGGCTGCTGGTGTAATTGGAGAAACAGCAACTAGATTTACAAGGACCTTCCCTCCTCCTTTGGATCACCAAAGTATCTGTTCATGCTCTGGGAAGAGAGGAGAAAAGCACTCCATGTGGCTTGTGATTGTATTTTTTTTAATCTTCTGTTGTTTGAAGTGGAATATAGTTAACCTGGTGAGAGGAACTAAGGGGAAAAACAATTTTGGCTCCTGAAATTTGCTTTCAATAAAACTTCCCATGAATATAAAGAATCAGAATTGGGCAGTAGTAAATAGCTTTGGTTGAATTGGTGGTAGGCTTCTCTTTCACAATGCTTCTTGAAGTTAGTCTCTTTTTTTCTTCTTAAAGCAAAATGTTCATAGGAAATGAACTCATCAAGGACTGTGGGTTAAATATGCATGTGCTGGGTAGGTATGCTTTCCCAGGGAGCTGAGTGTTGTCCTGGGTGGCTGTGGGCTCTAGGAAGGTGTACCTGCTGGTCCATGTATTTCCCTTTCAAGCCCTACTAACACACAGAGCAGTCGAACAGGTGGGAGCCTGGCAGTAGTGCATGTCTATTCCCTGGGGTGGGAAGGTGACTTGTGTGCTGCTGCACGACTATTTTAAATAAGGATTCAAAATATATTAAAACAGAATAAAATCTTGCTCTTAAAGGTACTTCAAGCATTACACAGGAGAGGAGCACATCAAGATTTGTAATGGAGATCTGTGATGACCTTCTTGCTCACTTCATGCAAGTAAGCAACCTGGCTTTTGTGAGGAAATGCTTATTGTTTTGAAGGCTTTTTCTTCCCAAGTGGTTGTGGGTTTGTGGGAAAATGGAGGGAGAAGCCTCCTGCCCTGTTACTGCCTTCAGCTGCTCTCTGAATGATGGTAGCATTGAGAAAAGGAAGTTTTTGCTTTGTGATTTGTGACCCAGGCTCACTCTGGGAAAGTCTGAGCACTTATATACTCTTTATGGTTTGTTAACAACCTTCATCCAGAAACCACGTGAGATGTCTGCCCAGCTCTAGTGCTGACATCAGAGATCGGCTCTCGATGCAAGGGAACAGACATGGCACTATTTTTAGAAGATTTTAATGCGTATTGTTGAAGCTTGCTTTATTCAGAAATAAAAAAGGAAGTGGTAATCAGTTGTACAGAAAATGTGCAAGCTGCAGTGCTGGGAAGCCTGTTGTGCTGCTGGAGCTCAGCTCCAAGTAATCTGACCAGCAAAGAAAAGCAGAAGTGGAAAATGAAAGTATTAGGAAAAGAAAAATGGTTAACTTGGAACAGGAAACTTGGATACAGAACTTGAAAGCAGTAGTTACTTAAAAATTAAATGGGAAGCAGAGATGTTGTCAGGCTTTTCTCAGACATCAAAAGTGTATTCAAGGTAAAGGATCTTGTGAAGCAAATCTCTGTGCTACAAGAAATGAAATAAAGCTACTATCAAACTTGGCTGTTTCAGAGCTTCTGGACCTAACTAAAAGAGCCAGGAGTGAGTTATTTCTGTTTCTCTGAGAAGTTCTCAATGCTGTATTTATGTTACATGGACCTCAGTAATGGTCCACATACTGGTATTTAAAATCTGTTGATTTTAATATTTCACAGAAAACAGTTACATGTGATGAATTTTTATAGGAAAAATTTCCAACTTTGAACTGATTACCAAGTTCTATCATCACTCCAAAAATGCATGCATTTCTAAAGCAGACCATTTGGGCTGCAAATTCACATATTTTAATGCTCGTTCTAAATACATAAAAAAAAATCTCAGTAATTTGCCCTATAGTTAGTTTTTGTATGTCCAAGTATGTGGATGAGAAGACAGCATGCCATTCTGAGATCCTTTCTGACAGGGCAGGTACTGGGATGTCTCCCTGGGGGGGAAGTTTTGACTGATGCTTATATGCAATTTGTTAGGTTCCACACCCACTGCCACCTAGTACTCGTTTTGAAGCTCGTCTGATGATGATGGTGATGATGACAGACTATTTTGACATGGCACCTTATGCATATGCCACTTCATGGACAATTCATTAAAATAATGTAGGGTGAGCCACTGACTGACCAGACTCCTACTTCATCACCCAGACAAATAAGTAACTTTTCTGTGCTGTAGTCACAGGCCTCTTTTTTTTTTCCTCAAGTCAGCTCCAGACTCATTTAATTAGAGAAGAGAAGCTGATGTGATGACTGATGATGTGGGCAAAGGTGTTAAGAGAGGGAGTGAAGGCAGAGAGGCTTCTTTCAAAGGTGTCTCTGTTTCCCTCTTCAGCATCTCATCCGGCTCTCTCACCACTCAGAGTTTTGTGAGCCTTCTCGGATTGTTCTCACCAACATAAAGGAAGATTGGCACAGTCCTGGTATTCTTGCTCCCGCAAAGCAGAACTGTGGCTCTATGAAATGATGAGTGGAATAAGAGACCCTGCAGATACCTTCCTGCTTAGCTGCAGCTTGGCCAGCAGAGACACTCTAAGTCAGCTGTTTCTACTTTAGCTGGAGGCTGATGTTTTCTGTCTGCAGCGGGAAGTTTGGTGGCAATGAGTAAATTCACCCCAGGTAATTCAGATTTTTTTACTTGGAAAAAGGTCTGCTTGCTATGACTCAGATTGATCCTTACTTTGCGCGAATATAACAGCTTCTCAATGCATCTCCCACCAAGCAGTGTTTGCAGCACCCTTTTATTGTGGTTTACATGTGCGCAGACTGTTCTCTGTAGGACAGCAGCAGGCAGTTTCCGCTGAAACATGTTCAAGCTGAAGTTCTCCCATGCATTGTCTGTGTGGTTGTATTTCCTTAAGCACGCACACTTTTGTAACTTTATTTTTTAATTATTAAAAATATTGTTTCTAAGTAGTGCTGATACGAGTACTGAATAGCACGCTTTGTTCAGGCTGTGGCTTCAAAGCAGTGACTGGTTCAATGCTAAAGCATTAAAATAGCAGCGTGTCAGGCAGGACAGCTGGCAGAGAGGCTTTTGTGTGTCAGCATGTGCACCTTTTGTTTCTTTGCTCTAGACAGGTCTTAGTAAGGAACAGCACTGTGCACACCTGCATAACTTACACCATACTGAGGTCTGCTTTTCTAATGAAAATGAAACATCTTCAAGTGGAGCAAGAGCTATCATGTTGAGAAAGAACAGAGTGCACAGTTCTGCTGCTTCTGTCAGCGTTAGCGTCGAAAGGACTTTGTGCATAACTTAAACTGTGTGCAACAACTATCACATGCCTCTCAAAATTATGTCCTTTTCTCTCATAGTTAAACAGCTATATTTAAAGAGAGCTTTGAATTTTGTATGGAAGTTATAATTATGTCTGCAATTTGGGATTTTCTCCACAGTGGTTCCTAGCAGTGATGCTCTCACTCTGTTAACTTCAGTGCACTTGACCTCAGCAGCCTAAGTTTCACCTGGAAGCCTGAACAAATATGGGAACAAATAGGTAAGCAAAGATGCACAAATATTAGTGTACTGGTTGAAGCAGTTTGCTGCCATAGTGTCTGGCCAAGTTGATTGACAGAGGCCCAGCTCTGAGTGGCTTAGCAGCCTCTGTATCCTATTTTAAGCTTCTACCTGTTAATCAGCCCAGGTTTTTCCTACATTTGGCTGATGCAGTCCAAGTACATGTAATTATGTTCGCTTCTGTAGTTGGATGAGCATTCAGAGAAAGCCCATGTGAGCTATTTAATTAGTTCTTTTAAAAATCTCTCTAATTGCAAGGACACCAATTAAGAAGAATATATATATATTAATTAATCAAATGATAACTCAGGTACAGTACATTAAAAAAAAAAAAAAGTTTTTTTTAAAAAAAAGGCAACTCTAGTCACCAGCAGTTTGAGATTAATTTATAACCTGATCATGGGTGTGACTGTGATTATTGCCTTTTTTCAGGGTACGATGTGTTCACAGCAGGCAACCTCTAAGCCCCAACCAGGTTACTCCTCTAGAGTAGCATGAGGGAGAAAATGGAAGGAGTAAAAGCAAGCAAACTCATGGGCCTAATACAGACCCATAAACTGTATTTATGGGTCTAAATATAGTTTAAGAAGTGAAATAAATGGAAAACCAAACAAACAAGCAAAGAGCAAAACCCAAGTATTGCAAGGACAAGTCAGTCACCACCTCCCATAAACAGAGTGATGTCGAGTCAGCCCCTGAGCAACAGCTGTTTTGGAAAGAGTGTTTCCCCAGTTCTTTCTCTGTGTGCTATGAGGTGTAAGGTATTCCTTGGCTTATTCCAGGTCAGCAGTCCCAGCTGTATTCTCTCACTTCTTGCCCACATCAGCCTGCTCCTTGCTGGGGCAGAATGAGAAGCAGAGAAAATTCTGATAGAGTGCTATCACTGGGTGTGTTATCAACACTGTTTTGGTCACAGATGCCAAACAGCAGCAGCATACAGGCTATTGGAAAGAGATTAACTCCATCCCAGCCAGACCCAGCTTGCAGTTTCATTTCAGATGTTTTTCTTTCCTTCCCTTCCCTCTTTTCATCTTTTCCCAGAGCAGCTATTTACTATTTTTTTTCCTACCCTTTGGCACACAGAGCATGCCTCTTCTCTTACCACATCCCCTTGATGACTTTTTAGCAATGCTGCCTTTTCAAAGAGAAGTTTGCAGCTCCACCAGTACATCTGTGCAGGCTGGGAGGAGAGGGGAAGTGGAGAGTCACTTAAATATATTTTTGTACTGTGTAGGCTAACCAAAAACTCACATCCATGTTGCAGCTCAACATTCACTTGAAGAAAGAAATGTAATATATCAGAAGAATTCAACGCTATCTACATTTACATTTACTGAACTGAAAAAAGACACCACAAAGAAAATAATTCAGCTTTGCTTGCATCCTGGTGAAGCTGAACCTGTAATCTTCTGTACTGTACTTATGTGCTGCTGCTTCATATATAGCTCAAAGGACACTTAACCAATTTGCTGACCTTTGACAAGAACTTTAATTTTGTACTCAGTCATCTCATTGTGTTTCATTCCAGCTTTGGGCAACACCAACTTAAACTGAAAATGAATAAAGGGAATAAGAAGACTTTCCTTTCT